TCCTCATTTAACCGCACAGTGAGTTCTTTGAAGGATTCACATGACCTCAGGTAAACCCTGTGGTCTCATTTGGCCCCCCACATCTTCATTTGACCCCAAGGTATGTTCTTTGATGGGTTCATGTGACCTCAGGCAACCCCCTGTCTGTCTTCATTTGACCCCCCCGCCCTCATTATTTGACCCAATGGGACTGGTTTGCAGGGGTTTCCTCACCCCTATGTGACCTACGTGTCCTTATTTGGCCACAAGTAGCATCAGTTGACTCCCCCAAGTGTCCCCACCACCATCCCTTTCATCTAATGAACAGAACCTCCAGGCTCCAGCTTATGGGAGTGGAAAGGAGTCCAGCCCCTGACAAACTCTGCTGGCTGCTCCAGGCTCACCCGACTCCACCAGCACCTAAGAAAGGGAGCTGAGTCAAGGCTGACCAAGTCTGTCAGAGCCTCACAGGGTCTCGCCCTCTGCAAAGCACTCGCACAGGCCCCCAGTCTCACAAACTCTGGTAGGATATGTTGGACTCCAACAGCATCTAACAGCCTGTGTAGCATCCATTAGACCACACACTATTAGGAGTGTGTAATATTATCTATGTATATATAATTTTGGATTTATTATATATCCTTTATATTTCATATATATCCTATAATCATGTAATACAGAGAATTCTATAAATGCTGTGCAATAATTATGAAAGTCATTTAGAGTCTATAGTAATGCACTAACAGCATCTGTGAGAGGCAAATGGAGCCTAACAGACCCTAGCAGAGTGGGGCTGATGTTTCAGGATCTACCAGACCCCAACAGACACTGCAGAACGTGTTGGACTCTATTAGATTCCTCTGGACTCCCTTGGATTCTGTTCATGGGTGGTAACAAACCTGCTAATGTCATTCCCAGACTCTGATAGGTCCTGATGGATTACAAACTCTTTTCATCAGTTCTATTAGACTACGTTAACTCTGTCAATAGGCTTATTAGTATCAACCTTTCTTGCCCCCATTAAATTCAACAGATAGATAGCTGTGGTGATAATAGTTAAAATAGCTACAAAGTCAGTCACAGCCTGCAAGAGATCCAGCACACTAAGTCAACATCTCAGACTTGGGCACCCTGAATAAGATGACTGAGACAGGCTTGAGCAGGATATTCTTCTTCCAGGATTCACAGAACCAACACAACACAGACGATATGCTACAACAAAGGAAATTTTATTTAAAAATAAAACTTTGTTTTGTTTTTTTACTGACACAAGTGAATGAAATCCCAAAGAAGCTCTTAGTGGGCAGCATACAAGAATGGAAACAATTAATAAATAACATTAGTATAACCTCTAAACATTAACAATGCATTTGCAAACAAAATGAGGACTTTAAACCAAGTGAACCTTAAAGCTCAGCTACTCTCTGTAAGAATATTTACCTTCTGTTTTTCCTTATTCTTTACAGATCTGAAAGGATTAAATACTGCTATTATATTTTTATATTAATGACACTATTATACTTTTTTAAAATATTTTGTGAAAATCTCAACAGTTTTAACACTGATATTATACAAATTGGTATTTGTCATTCAACAGAAAGAACAACTGTTCCTCCCCTACTGGGAATTTCAAAACAGTTTTTATTAGGAACTTTAAAGTGTCCTTATTCCCCATGAATTTTTAAAGTGGCACCTTTAAGAAAGTGCCCTGGGAGTTGCATTTTTTTCTTGCTCAACTGAAAACAACATTTACAGTAATGACCCTGCCTCAGGATTAGCTACAGTAATGTAATCAGTCTAGTGCAGGAAGCAACACGCTGTACTCCGAGCCTCTCTGGCTCCCCCAAGGTAAGGGCTAGGTGAAGGGCATGCAGAAAAGCTGTAGCGAAAGCAAGTCCGCCGGTTCCCAGCAGAGACACTCCATGCCTCAAGTTGCAGCACTTGCAGAGACAGACACACAAGGGCAGTGCAGCAGGCAAGATTTACCACGCCCCTGGCAGGGTATGTTTCATTTCAGATTCCTGTTCAGCCACGGTGGCACTGAAGATACTAAGTCAGCCGGAATCCCTGTTCAGAACAGACCATACTTGCCTGCTTTCCATGGCTACCTGCTGCTCGCTGTGCAGAGACGCATACTGGTCCCACACATTTTATGCCCAGCTTTTACTGTACAAAGTGTTTTCTGCTTGCTTTGTGTCCAGGGTTGACAGGTAGGGGGAAAACCAGCATTTTTTATGAGCAGAACTTGTATTTTCTTACAAGCAAAGCCATCCTGTCCTACAATTCTACTGTCTTCACACCAAGCTTAGTACAGCACCAGTCCAGACAAGTCACTGTTAGGTAAAGTAGGAAACCTCCACAGTTGAAATGCTACAAAACACAGGTGTTATAGTTGAAGCGACAATTGCCCATCTTTCTTGCCCCTTCTTTTCACCCCTTTCAAAGCAGTCTCACACTCAAAGGCATTTTTACAGCTTGTCTAATTTGGGCTCTTCAGTTTCGCAGAGGGGTGGATACTCGATCCAGCCTAGCGATGCAGCATTCCCTTAAGAAAGGCACTAGGCATTTGTGTTTTTTTCTTTTTAAAGTAGCATCATAAAGTTAACTTCTTAAGAATAAAGATCAAGCAGGTGAAGGGAAAAAAGACAAATCAATCTTAGGCTTACCTTTCTGAAAAAACAACAAGAAAGAGACACTGCATAGTGCTTGGACTGACTTCACAGAGCACAGCCATAAGACATGGTCAGGACTCTGCTGCACTTCAGTGGTACTAGCAAAGGCTTACATGTCTAAGGAAGAAAAGCTAAGTCTTACGTTTCTTAAATCAGTTTGAAACACAAACAGTGCACAGAAAGGACACATGCAGAAAAATTAGTGATACATGCCACAAAGATTGCTGTCTCTAATATTTGAAACAATACCCACAGGAACATCTCTCAGCACATAAACCCCAAAGACAGGCCTGTACTAGCTCTGCTAGGCATGATTTAATTTAACATTACAACAAGCCTGTAATGAAGGGCTTGTATGGGACAAGGCATCATTACTCTGATCACACACACACTATGCAAGACAAGAGTTAAGGCTTTCTAGCTGGTTGGACTTGGCTCTTAGCAGCCTTGGCAGTGGCAAGAGTCACATGCCACACTTGAACACACTTGCACTGATTTTACGCAGCAAGTCAGAAATGAAGTGGCTCCAAACCCAACATGGAGCTAGTGTCAGCGCTGGAGAGAATACGAAAAAGAGGGAAATAAAACCGTAGTGCTCCCTCAAGAAAGGATTTTTACCTGGTTCTCCAGGACAAAGCCAGGGAATAACTCTCTATGCTAGGACTGGTTGCTCAGGCTCACAAGTGTAACACACAGATCTACTGAGAGAACAGCCAGAGCTGCCCCATGTTCCTGCCTCAGCAACACCAGCGCTGGGCTTGCTTCTCTAGAAACTCCCACAGACACACTGACCAAGGCTGCCATGCATAACTGGCAGAGCACTTCACACAGAAAGAGCAGAGCTAGTTCATGATACTGCTGACTGTTGCACGTCTCGGCAGAGGAAAAAGAACAGCTCTTCGTCCCCGAGTGCAATATGCATTGACATCACCTTCTCTGCAACTCAGCACCTTCACCAAGGCCAGACCCTGCTCTTGGCTGTGCCTGACCTCTCTCTGCACCACTACAGAGCACCATGCCCACTGACATGAATCGCATCAGTGTGCTGCATGTGCAAGTTTCAGCCCTGACCCTAGCAATGGTGGTGATAGCCCATAAGTGTTGCAGGATATCTCCTTAAGAGTTTCAGAGAACATTTTCTTTACTACAGAAAGGAGGGGAGTAAAGAGAGACAGTTCATGCTTTTAAACTGCCTGGAACTGAATGCATCCCTTTATAAAGCTGTAGGTCTAGAGAGAAACCTATACATAAAACAAACATTTTATGCTTAGTTCCCTTTGCTAATACTTGTTAAGTCCTCCCCGCCAATTGCAAGCCATTTCTCTGAGATCTGGGCCCAGCTACTAGATTCTTTAAAAGGCTAAACTGCATCCAACTGCCATAATCACTCCAAAAATATTTCAAGTTGCAACCCTTTGCCTAGTGACTACTGCTGTCCTTAGAGAGATGTAAATAATGCTAGACATGCTTCAGAAGGCTAATAGCCTCTCAGTGTACACAGAGCACTTGTTCAGCTGTCAGGCTGTGATCTGTATCCCTACTTGATTTAAATCCTCTCAAAAGCAACCATACACTTCTCGCACATCAAGCATATATGAACAGTTAAGTAGCTGAGTATGCAAGCCAGGTTTTTTCAAGGTAGCAGCTGAGTACTGACTTTTAAAGCAGTGTGACTGTTTTACAAATACAGAAGTTTCCCAGATCTGTTTTAACATGAGCTCTGGCAATACCTTAAAGTAATGGAAATGGAAAAAGGGGCCCCCATGCTGTTTTGATAGCCATGCAGAGAACTGCTGCATTTCTTTTACTGCAAAGCAGGTAAGATACCAATGAATATATCAGCAGCACCTACCAATTCCACAAAACAGCCTGGCACAAAGACAGCTGGCTCCTGTGAAAGCTCTCTGAAAGAGATGATGGAATGTGCGTGAAGGCCACTAGTCTGCAACAGCCACCATGCAATTAAGATAAATAAAACATCATATTTACCAGGTGCAACATTCCTAGAGAAAGAGCGCGTGGGAGTGTCCAGTGATAGCTGCTCAAGCCCAGCAGGGCCACAATCAAGTTTGAGCATTGAAGCACAAAATGCTCAAGGCTAAAAAATAAGAAGCAGCAGCCAGTTCCTTGCTCTCACTCAAATTCTTCCCACCCTCTCCCACCCCTCAAAAACACGCAAAGCTTTCAGCACGTAGCTGCCTGGAATCTGGTGCTGCCAGTGCTGCTGGGCTAGACGACACATATGAGAGAAATACAACTCCCAGCACTGTCAAGATCAAAATGCCTAACAGAAGCTAGTCACGCTATCTCCAGGCAAAAAGGGAGGACTTGAATCACAATCAATAAATGCTATTATTACAGGCAAGAGGGAAACACCATGGCAAACAGGAAGCAATCAGAAGATTCTTCCAAGGTCTCCTGTTTATTCCCAGCAGAAAGTGACCTCCCAGCTGCTCTAAAAAGCCTGAGCCAGACACACAGCAGCGAACAGATCCAAACCTAGTACCATGAACCACAGGACACACCACACCGACCTTGAGACTTTGTCTCTCAGAGCATTCACTTAGAATTCACAGCACAAAACACTCCCCCTAGCCTCCAGGGCACCAGCTCAGGGATCCCCTGTTGCGATACCTTTCTCTACCAACACCCTGGAAATAAAACTGTTCTCTCAAACAAGAGGTAGGGGTAAAGGACTCCAAGACATACACTGTATAAAACACCATTCTGCTCCATTTCATTCCACTGCTTTGAAATCTGGAACCACAGAAACCTGATAACTGATTCTCTTAAGAGGCAGGACTGACCTCAGCACGAAGTCTCTAAAGGAACCCCCTTTCCCTTTGGTGCGTAGCTGGGCTACGGCTGCCCAGGCAGTTGGTCCACAGAAGTTGTAAGTGTGGAGGTAATGTGCTATGTGGCCACATGCGCAGGGGAGGAAATGGAAACAAACTCCCGGAGAATATTCTTGGCCATTTCAATATTGTTATGTGCAATGACCAGTGCTTTCTGAATGTCCTGATATGAGTAGCCTTGGCTCATTAGATTCTCGATCTCACTGGAGAGTTGCAGTGACACACTGGTCCCACTGCTGGCTCCGCCTGTTTGGCAGCTCCCTGCTTTCCGCTCAGAATTTATTCTCCGTGGTAGCGGCTTCGGTGGCCTTTCTGGAACTTGAGAGCCATCTGAAAAACCTGGAAGGGGAAACAAATGCATCACTTCAAAAAAGGACATGCGATTCTTGCTTATGACATTAGACTGATAAATGGCCCTTCAAAAACATGCCACCAAGATCTATGCCACTTTCTTCAACCAGCCTATCCTCTCACACAACGGTACGGATTAGGTCAGCTTCCCCTCTCATGTGCAAAAATGTCTATGGAGTTTTTTTTTAATTAGGAGGCCCCATCAGGCTCATTTATTAAGAAACGACTACGTAAACAGAAAAAATTGACAAGGGATGTATATGTATGTGTGTGAGCAGAGCTCAGATATCAGCCTTAGAATAAGCAGCAGAGAAATGCTGGGAAAGAACGACAGAGAGAATGTACAACTTTACCAAACATCCCATTTCCTTCTAGAATCAGACAGCAACCCCCAGTTTAACTGTCCAGATGCTGATCTATTCCCACAGAACTGCTGGCCACATTGCAGCATGCTGAGCGAGTGTACGCACAAATCCAGATCTATTGGTTACAATTCATCCACCACAATCACTCCAGCAATCGAACTGTGTTCTCTGAAGGGTCTGCTCCTCTTCCTCTGCTAGCCCATCAGCAGACCAGAGCCATCTAC